ATTATTTTGAGATTTATCCACATGTTGTTAGGTATCTAAACAGGCCATTCCTTTTTATTGCTGAGTAGTATTCCATTGCAGAGATATACCACAATTTGTTCACTCATGTACCGTTTAGTGGACATCTGGGTTATATCCAGTTTGGTTGCTATGACTATTCATATCCACATCTTTGTATGGAAAAACAACCAAACAGATAAACAAACAAGGGGAAGAATTAAATAGTCCCTATCCCATGTGCTCCTCAAACCTGAGCTGGGGAGAGGGCAGCAGCATGTAAACTGGAGTTGATATCTGGTTTTGGACTGCAACGGAACTTTAGCAACAGACCTAATACCCAAAGGTAGCCAGAAGGCCATGGGTTCTGCCAGGTGGAAGGTGGTCGTCCTGGGGAGAGATGGGTCATCAGCATCAATGGGAAGAATAAGGCTGCCTCCTGACAACGTAGCTTAGAGACTTGCCCAAGGTCACAAAGACCTGCCCAATGCAGGAAAGCGGGAGACATCTGTGAAAGAGGAGCTGAGTCATGAGGAGACAGCAACTAGGACACAAAGGGAGGTCCCCGGTGAGCCTGATTGCAACAGCCAAAGGGAGGAAGGCGGCAGCAAGCCAGAGAATCACATACACCCACACACTCGGCCCCCGCCCATGAGCGCCTCACACTGCACCCACAACACCGGCACTCCACATCCCAGTGATCTCAAATCCAGCAGCTACGTTCTCACCCAAGAAACCTGCTGCAGGGTCTATGAGATGCTGTGATATATCCTCTCATCACAGACTTTCAGAGCTGAAAAGCCCCGGAGGAAACAAGGCTTGCAGGGATGAGGTGACTTGCCTACGGCCACCAGGTAGGACTAGAATAAAATTCTCCTGATTCCTGCTGCAGTACACCACCATCACTGTAACACGGGCTCTCCACTCAGAGATACTGTTAAATGTGTTCATGAAATACCAGGTTCAAAATGATCCTAAAAGCAACTGCCTGAAAAATAGAAGCAGCAATTGCGACACACATATTTGGTGCATGGTTATGTAAAGGACTACTGCTTTTCTCTAGGATGTGGGTCACTAAATAAAGGCTGTTAGGAAACTGTTTGTTTCATTTCCAGCCCATGTCCTGATTGCTCATCGGTACACCAATCATGGGTGACGCTGGTCTCGACAGTCAACAGCACACCAGCTTCTTGGATCCCCCTGGCTTTATCACACTCCTTTGCCAGGTATAAGAAACTCCCACATCAATATTTTTTTCCCCTTGATTTAGATTTTTCCGACCTGGAACTGGACCATCAATTTAGGAGGGGCCTCAGGCTTCTGAAGGCTTATACCTACAGAACTACAGTGTTCATGTTGAAATGACAGAGAGATCCTCTCTGCAGCAAGAAGGTCCTCTCAGCTCAGAATGATCACACACAGCAGGGTGAGGGAGGATGGGGACACTCACCTATGTCAGCCTGACCTGCCTAAGTCTTACAGACTTTCTTCGCACTATTCACTGATTAGGGCCCTGATCCAATATCAAGTCCCTCAGGTCCCACTTTGTCCCTGTGGCATTTTTTTTTAAAAAAACAACTTCATTTATTATTTTTGTTCAGTAAAGATGCATCTCCTCACTTACTGCCATTCTTTAAACAGTCATTGCTGTTGTTTTGTGTGACCTCTTCCTCTGAGCAGAGACACAGAGCACATGGGTGTTAAGAAGATAGAGGCCGGACATACCCAGCAGGCAGTTCCAGCCATGGACTTGCATGGTAACCGCCCCGGCAGGTATCCTATTTTGTCCATGCAATGGGATTGATCACTGCTTCTCAAGGTTGTGGCAAAAACTTCATTAGTCAAGTTATGTAGAGTGAACATCTATTGAATGAATGCTAGAAGGATCACTGAACTACTTAAATCTGGTTTTCTTTTCAGTTGCCTAGCTAGTAGAATGGAATATACAGATGTTAAATGTTTATATGATGTATCGCCCGTTATCTTTAGAAACTGCTGCTCATAGCAGCATTATTTATAACAATGCTACTGGAACAATTCACATGTCCATCGACGAATGAATGCATCCACAAAATGTGGTACATACACTGATGAAATATTATCCAACTTTAAAAAGGAGAGAATTCTGACATATGCTATGACATGGACAAGCCTTAATATCATGTTAAGTGACATAGCCAGACACAAAAGGACAAAGACTCTATGGCGACATTTATATGAGGCACCTAGAGTAGTCAAATACACAGAGACAGAAAGAAGCAGGTGGTTACCAGGGATCGGAGAGGAGGAGGGTGGGGATTTATTGCTTAATGGGAACAGTTTCAATTTTGCAAGATGAAGAAAGACCTGGAGGTGAATAGTGCTGATGGTTGCACACAGTGTTAACATACTTATTGCCACACTATACATAAAATGAATAAATTAGTAAACTTTATTTTATGTATACAGTGGGGCCTTGACTTACGAGTTTAATTCGTTCTGTGATGGAGCTCGTAACTCAAATTACTCATATGTCAAATCAACAGTGAACGAGTGAGACACGTGATGCTGAGCTGATGTTGTAGCATTCACTGTGACGTTCGCTGCGCCAACTAGCGGTGGCGTATCTGAAGCTGGCTCGTAACCCGAATTTTAGCTCGCAACTCAAAGCAAAAAATTGGCCGAGAGAGACGGCTCGTATCTCGAAAAACTCGTTAGTCGGGACACTCGTAAGTCAAGGCCCCACTGTACTTATCATGATTTTTAAAAAGTATTGAACAAAAACTAGTTGCTTCAACCAAGTGCTAACAAAGAGATCTGAGCAACCAGAGTTGCATGTATTCCAGATAAACTGTTTTCTTTTACACCAATTTGCTAAAATATACTGATATTCAGGCATTTATTTTTAGTGTTCCTGTTATTTTATCAACCAAATAATTTTACTTTGATTAAAACAGGCCTGGTTCAATGAAATTATTAGCCTGGAAGGAAAAAATTTCTCCACAACAGCATGTTTTTGAATTTATGATGAGCCCAGAGGAATAAAATTTGATTACTAAAATATGTTATTTTAGGTTTCCCCCCAAATAAAGGTAAAGAAAAACACATGACCTAATGTTTTTAGGTTGTTTTGGTAGCATATTTTGTCTCCCTAATTGTGTCACTCAGACAAAAGTTAAAATCTATACTATTTTTTAAATAAATACATATCCATAGTAAGCAGAAGCCTTAAGTATGAGGAAAAGCTGTTATAAGAAGAAAATTTAGTAAAAACATACAAATAGAGTCAGAAGAGCCATTAAAAACAAATATGTGAGAAATATGGCAATAGTAACTATACAAGCAAAGCTTGTAGGGTGGGGAATTAGGTAGAAAAGAAAAAGCATGAAAAAAGGGCACAGTTTCAGGTAATAAAATGTAAGTCCTATGGATTCATTTTTAACACAGTGTATTAAAGTCTGGCAAAGTTTTCCTGTAAACCTTTGTGAGCCTTGTGGCCTTCTGTGGCAACTACTGAACTCTGGTGTTGGAGGTTGACTGTAGTCACAGACACTACGTAAACAAAGGGGTGTGCTGCTCCAATAAAAGTTTATTTACAAAAACTAGCAGCAGGTCAGATTTGGCCTAAGGGCAAAAGTGTGACAAGCCTTAGTCTAGAGAAACAAAATAAAGAAATAAAGGGACAATTTGGAATAAGGAATATCAACGCACATGAACTAAAATACCATGGGTTCCTACTCTTGACCCCAATGAATCAGACCCATGAGCAAAGTTCAAATTTAAAATGTCCTTTTCTTACCAAATTTTTAATCATCTCTCAGAGAAGAGCTAAATGGCTCAATGAGCTAAAATGTTTCTAGTGGATTCCTCATTCCTACTTAAAAATGGAATGATAGTCTACTTGTATTAAAACATTCAGAATGTTTTTCTTTCTTTTTTTAAAAATCCTTACCTGAGGATATGTTTATTGATTTTAGAGAAAGAGAGACAGAGAAACGTCAATGTGAAAGAGAAACATCAATCAATTGCCTCCCATATGTGCCCTACAAGGGCACTGAACCCGCAACCTGGGTATATGCCCTGACCAGAAATCGAACCAAAACCTTTTGGTATACGGGACGATACCCCAACCAAATGAGCCACCTGGCCAGGGCTGTTTTTCTTTCTTTAAAAAAATATTTCTTAGTCCCCAGGAGTCAACTCACAACAGTAAATTCTTACTCTAAGCAACTCTAAGCTTTTTCAATTGATTATCAAGATACAGAATAAAATCTAGGCCAGTAACTTCAAATATGTATCACTTCAATAGAGGTTGGTTATTATCAAGATCCCCAAGGAATGTATGAACTATCTATCTATAAGATGGGAAGGTATCGCCCAGGTGGCGTGGCTCAGAGGTTGAGCGCAAACACCATGCACAAGGAGGGCCCGGTTTGATTGCTGGTCAGGGCACATGCCCGGGTTTCAGGCTCAATCCCCAGTAGGGGGTGTGCAGGAGGCAGCCGATCAATGATTCTCTCTCATCATTGATGTTTCTATCTCTCTCTCTGAAATCAATAAAAACACATTAAAAAAATAAAACAGGAAGATATCTAAAGAATACATATTTTAGTGTAAAAACAAGTAAACCTTCTACACAAAGAGCACAACTGTGTAAAACAGGAAAACACACACACTCTACATTCTCACTTGCATATGAAAGGAAAATGTTTAGAAGGATACTCTCCTCACCTCTAAGGAGGATTCCGAGCTTCACAATGTTCATGTTTCACTTTACGTTATTCTGTACTTATACATTCTTTACCATAAGCATGCATAACTTTTAGTATTAAGATTTTTATGCTGTTAAAAGGTTTATCATCAACTTCATTATTAAGAATTTTGAATGCCAATATTTTTAACAAAAAGACTAGTCCCTCAAAGGACTTCTACCACTCATAAAGGTCATCACGAAACAAGGATATTTACATATACAATCCATGGGACATGGTCTTTTTGGGTAAAATTTCACAACAGTACAATACCTCAGCTCCACCCATCCATTTGGGCTCATCAGGAAACTCAGCACACAAAATATCTTCTGACTGATCAGTCCCCAAGACATGGTAGCAGAGCTTCTGGTGGAGGTTGCTGGACGTCTCTGTGCCTGGAAGAGTTAACAATGTAGACTGAAACGCAGTGTGCAATTTTAAGAGAACCTATTCCACCCACTCTGTACTATGCTAGAATCCAAGTCACGTATCTGGTTGTAGGATATGAGGTTATTACATAAAAGTTAATCGTTTTTCTATATACCAGCAATGAGCAAATGGAATTTCAAACTAAACACACAATACCACTTACATTAGTACCCCCAAAAGGAATACCTAGGTATAAATCTAACAAAATATGTATGAGATCTAGAGGAGGAAAACTATAAAAACTTTGATGAAAGAAATCAAAGAAGAGCTAAATAAATGGGCAGATACTTCATGTTCATGGTCAGGAAGACTCAATATTGTCAGTTCTTCTCAACTTGACCTTTAGATCCGATCCAATCCCAGTCAAAATCCCAGCAAGTTATTTTGTGGATATTGACAAACTGATTCTAAAGTTTATGTGGAGAAGCAAAAACAAAACAACAGCCAACCAATATTGGAGGACTGACATTACCTGACTTCAAGACTTACTGTAAGTAATCAAGACATTGGTGCCATTGGCAAAAACAGACAAACAGATCAGTGGAATAGAGTAGATAGCCCAGAAACAGACACATAATACAGGCAACTGATCTTTGCTAAAGGAACAACGGTTATACAACAGAGAAAAGATCATTTTTTTCAACAAACAGTGGATATCCACATGTAAAACAATTTACACACAGACCGGACACACTTCACAAACATGGACTCAAAATGGACCACAGCCCTAACTCTACATGCAAAACTATAAATATTCTAGAAAACAACACAGGAGAAACCTAGGTGACCGTGGGTTTGGTGGTGACTTTTTGGATACAACACCAAAGGCACAATTCATGAAAGAAAGAACTGAGAAGCTGAACTTCATTCAAATTAGAGCCATCTGCTCTGTGAAAGATACTGTCAAGGAAATGAAAAGACAAGCCACAAAGTGGGAGAAAATATTTGCAAAAAACTTATCTGATAAAGGACTGTCATCCCAAATACACAGAGAATTACTAAAACTCAACAATGAGGGAAAAAACCACCTGATTAAAAAAATGGGCCAAAGACCTTAACAGACAGTAGAGATGGCAAATAAGCATATGCAAAGATGTTCCACATCATAGGTCATCAAGAAAATGCAAATAAAACCGAGATACCATTATCAGAATGGCCACAATCCAGAGCATGGATGACACCAAATGCTGATGAGGATGTGGAGCAATAGAAACTCTCATTCATTGCTGGTGGGAATGCAAGATGGCACAGCCACTTTGCAAGACAGTTTGGCAGTTTCTTCCAAACCTAAACATACCTCTACCACATGATGCAATAATCACACTCCTTGGTATTTACCCAAAGGAGTTGAAAACTTATTTATGTTGATGCAAAAACCTGCACACAAATGTTTATAACTGCTTTATTCATAACCGCCAAAACTTGGAAGCAACCAAGATGTTTTAGGTGAGTGCATAAATAAACCGTGCTACATCTAGACAATAGAATATTATTAAGCACTAAAAAGAAATAAACTATCAAGCCATGAAAAGACATGGAGCAATCTTAAATGCATATGACTAAGTGAAAGAAGCCAATCTGAAAAGAGTAGATAGTCGATGTCAACTAAAGGCATTCTAGAAAAGGCAAAACTACAGAGATGGTAAGATCAGTGGTTGCCAGGGGTTGGGAGGGAGGGAGGATAAAGAGGTGGAACAGAGGATTATCAGGGAAGTCAAACTACCCTGGTATAATACCACAATGGTGGATACATATCGTTACACATTTGTGTGAACCCCTGGAATGTACACCATAACCTGAAGTCTAATGTAAATGATTGATTTGGGGTGATTATGATGTGTCCATGTAGGCTCATCAACTGTACCACTGTGGTGGAGATGCTGATAATGGGGGAGGCTATGCATGTGTGGGGGCAGGGGATGTATGGGAAATCTCTGTACCTTGTGCTCAATTTTGCTGTGAACTTAAAACGGCTCTAAAAGCCAACTATTGAAAAAAAAAGAAGTTAAGAATCAGTTGAGTATCATCTGGAAGTAATTCACACATATCTGCTGATTTTTTGAGGCTGTTTGAAGATTGAACTATTTTTATTTTATTCTGAAAATGTACCAAGCTTTCAGAACAATGAAGAACTAGATAATACCACGACACACAGTGCAATATTTAGATCTTATGTCATAGAAATGTACACTTGAAAGCTCTATGATCCTATTACCCAATGTCACCCCAGCAAATTTAATGAAAAAAACACCACCACCTTAGAGCACTTGGTGACTTTCCCAGGGCTTTCTGGGAACACTGGTAAGAAGTGCGCAGTCAGAACCACTCAGCTTTTCTGCACGGGCCCCAGCACTCACCCTAAGTGGCTGCTGAGGTTCTCTGGACAAGAGGCCAGCAACTGACAGCTGGGAGGTACTGGCTTTCTTAGTTCAATCGCAATTACTATGGTTGCCACTGAAAGTGGAGGGTAACTGAAAATTTTCATGTTTTTCACAAGTTAACTTCATAACATTATTCTCTAACAAGAAATGGCCAGTTATATACTTTTTTGATCTCCCAGAACTTGGAAATAGCCAACAATTTCTAACCCACTGGCACTCTCAATACAGACACAGAGGTCTTTCTTTAGCCAACATTCTTGATTTAAAAACCTCTTAGCTCCTTCTGTAGATCCCTGGTGAATTCGAAGAAAGGTAATGAGTAGTATAATCAAAGGCAGCAGACGGTAAACATAGCCAAAAGAGATAAAACGTGTTACAGCCTTATTCCCAATTCAACTGGGAGGGGGAGACGGGAGACAGAAAGGAGAGTATCACTAAAGATACAGCAGGTCATGATAAGGGGACAACATGTGCGGTAGAAAGCACTTGCCAGGCCCAGGCTCTGAAAAAGGTACCCGAGACTCTGCATCCCAGCTCCACATCTCTAACAAAGGGACCGTAAAACCCACCCGTCACGACCAGCCAAGAAACATGAGAACCTATACCTCGAGTGGAATATGGAGTGGCATAAAGACGCTGATGCTGAAAGCCTGTACCAGCAAGGTATAAGGTACAGGACCCTTCCTGTCTGGGAAGACGAGGAGTGAAGGGGGAAAGAAAGAGGGACCACTGAACACAACAGGATCTTTGTGAAACTGAAGAGGAAAAGAATAGATGTGTATGGGAAGTTAACAAGAAGAAAAGTGTCAAGATAAATGCAGCCAACAGGGGACTGTAACTTCTGACCAGGGGAAAAGATCAATGATGATTGCAGCAGAAAAATTTTATAATCACTCAACATCATTAAATCAGTTGGTTTTATGAAAAAAATCCATCTTCTCCATGAACCCCCTGGGACACAGAACACATTTGTGAAAGACTGACTGGAATAGTGGCCTCACTATTTCACAGTTCCCAGTATCCCCTTGAAGAGGGGATGGTAAACAGAATGCAGGGAAGTGACAGTATGACAGTAGCAAGCCCAGGCATCTAAGAAGTTGTGCCTTTCAGCTCTCCCTCTTGGAATCCTGCTGAGCTGCCATGCAAATTAGCCTGCTAGAGGATGAGAGACCACATGGAGCAGAGCCGAGGCCCCAGACATGTAAAAGAGTCAAGCCAACTGACCTGCAGCTGACCACAGACAGACACATGATGAACTCAGCTAAGCCCAGAAGAACTGCCTGGACAACCCATAGACCAGGGGTGGGCAAACTTTTTGACTCGAGGGCCACAATGGGTTCTTAAACTGGACCGGAGGGCCGGAACAAAAGCATGGATGGAGTGTTTGTGTGAACTAATATAAATTCAAAGTAAACATCATTACATAAAAGGATACGGTCTTTTTTTTTTTTTTTTTTAGTTTTATTCATTTCAAACGGGTCGGATCCGGCCCGCAGGCCGTAGTTTGCCCACGGCTGCCATAGACTCAAGCGAAATAAATGGTCATTATTCTAAACCACTGAGGTTTGGGGTGATCTCTTATACAACAAAGTTACGTGGTACAACGTTCTTTGAGGAATCCTGGCTCTAGACTAAGCATGTCAAACTCAAAGGCTAACACGGGCCAAATAAACACGGTTTAAGTTTATGTGGGCCGCAAAAAAAAACTTCCATTTTCATAGAAATGTAGGTTTATTTCAATAGACATGCTGAACAACACAAAGGGCTGAAATAAATGAATAATCATTAACATAAAGTAATAGAACATTTTAATAAAAATTAATATTTTTTTCTTGAACATTAACTTACCAGGCACCGAATAACTATGCAAATTAATAAGTGTAATGCAAATAAACCTATTTTTCTTGTTCTCCGAAAGCGAAATATTTCCTGTTGTGCACACCAAACAAGTCAGTCCAAGACTAATGACATGGCAATCGGTTGCTAAAATATCTGCTGCTAGTATTAGTAGAGAGAAATGGTGCACCTGCATGTAAGGCACGTAAGGGAGATGAATGCAACACGATTATAGTAATCAGTCATTAGTGAACGTTGTAGTTCATTATTAATAACTAGAGGCCCAGTGCACCAATTCATGCATGGGTGGGGTCCCTTAGCCTGGCCAGACACTGGGGCTGACCAGCCAGGGGGAGGGGCTTCAGGAGGTTGACCACCCTGATGGGGGCCATCAGGCCAGCCGCCTGGGGCAGAGGCCGGGGTTGTGGGAGGTTGGCCGGCTGGCTGTGGGGAGGGGCCATGAGAGGTTGGCTGTGGGAGCGCACTGACCACCAGGAGGCAGCTCCTGTGTTGAGCGCCTGCCCCCTGATGGTCAGTGCGTGTCATAGCGACCGGTTGACTGGTCGTTCGGTCACTTAGGCTTTTATATACATACTAGAGGACCGGTGCACAAGATTCGTGCACTGGGGGGTGTCCCTCAGCCTGGCCTGCAACAACGCCAGAGTCACTCGCGCCGAGGCCCCTCCCCTACCACCACACTGCCGGTGCAGACGCTGGGCTCGCATTGCCAGGGCGACACTGCCAGCGTCCCGTCCCAGCCACTATGGGCGCCGCCATCTTTGTTGTGGAGTGATGGTTAATTTACATATTACTCTTTTATTAGACAGGACTAGAGGCCCGGTGCACAAATTCATGCACATTGAAAGGAAATTAGTTAGAAGAAAGATTCATACAGTAATTACGTTACTGCAAAAAATTACGTCAATAGTATATATAATACAGCATTATAAAATTAAAACATGCATGTGATTGGTGCCAGCGAGAACTTTATATGTATCACACATGTGCGAGTCAACGTTTATTTTTAAATTGCCATTGCGCATCATATGTACTGGCCAGTCAGATGGTTGATGAATAAATCGCGATGTGGTTCACGCTGAATGTCAACTAAAACAACTAAATTCATGATCGGCAATGACAGATCGAAACACGCATGGGATTGGTGCCAGCGAGAGCTTTACATGAATCACACAAGCGTTAGTCAATGTTTATTTTTAAATTGCCAGTGCGCATCATATGTACCAGCTGGTCAGTCAGTGGGTTGGACGGACGGACGGTCGGTCACTTAGCCTTTTATATATATAGATAATGTATAACAGGATATTGTAAAAATTAAATTACGAAATTTTTATTAAAACATTTCTTACATACCGTTATATTGGCTGGGCCCCAAAAATATTCGCTGTGGGCCGCAAGTTTGACATGCTTGCTCTAGACCAAACTGTTAGGGATTAGTTTTTCTTTTAAAGTTATGGGAGTCACACTTCTATTTCATAAAAAAGGTGCTTTCACCTGAAGTCTTAACGTACCATCACTTTTTCCATCTTGTTGGGGGTAAGAGTTGTAGAACATTCCCTTCCCATCATGGGTCCAGGCCATACAGCTGAACTTGACTCTTTCGAGCACATCTGGAAGCTCTTTAGCACCATCGACTTTCATAAACTTGATTGTCACCCAGTCGGAGCCACTGGCACTCAGACCATAGGCAAAATATTCACCGTCTTCACTGAATGCATAGCCTATGGAACATAGGAGAAATCAAACAGTGATGGGGACACAGTGCCTGGCCCTGCTCATTGCCCTGCGCTGCCCCACAACACTCTCTGTCGTACACGGAGGCAGACTGTGGTAGTGAGGAACTCTGAGGGCCAAGCCCATGTCTTAACAGGCATTTGCCTTATGACCTTAAGCAAGTCTTCATTTCTTCATCTCTAACATGAAGTGTTGGATTCTATGCCCACTAAGATGCTTCCATTTTTTAATTTCTATCAGTTAAAAGCAGAGCCCATCTTTGATTTTCAGCACATTCTATTTACACTCTAAAGCAGCGGTTCTCAACCTGTGGGTTGCAACCCCTTTGGCAGTCGAACGACCCTTTCACAGGGGTCGCCTAAGACCATCCTGCATATCAGATATTCACATTACACTCATAACAGTAGCAACATTACAGTTATGAAGTAGCAACGAAAATAATTTTATGGTTGGGTCACAACATGAGGAACTGTATTTAAAGGGCCAGAAGGTTGAGAACCACTGCAAAGGGAACAAGTAAGGAACAAGGAAACTGCCTTTGGAGTAATGATTGAATTAGGACACACACCATGAAACAGAACTAAATTGGAATATTAGGTAATTTTTGGAATGGATTCCAAACTATCTGAGTTCATTCTTTACAACCCCGTTTTCTGAGCATTACTGGCACTCAAGGATTATCGCCCATACCATCCGAACACCACCACCCAGGCAAATAAGGCCTGAGGGTTTGCAATGAAGGATCTCACGCGGTCCACATACCAAAAGTGACCGTGGAAAAGGAAGAAAAGCAACACCATCTATGGACTACTCTACTGTCCAATTCTTTAGGGACAAGAGAGATAGATCATTGTCATCACCATGGAATGTTTCCTGACAAATATAGCAGCTTTCATCATTGTGAATTATCATTATGGTATAGCATTTGGTACCAGACACCAACACCAGAAATTTCCCTTTGGGATATT